ACTACCTGGAAACTGAGGCTCAACAAAGTGAGAAGTAAAAAGTCAACTGTCCTAAAACTTGTATTAAATGGCACACCTGTGCAAAAAAGTTGTATCCCTCTTTCCTGGAACTTTCGACCAACATTTAGCAAGACAGAAACCTTGTAACAGCCACTTCCGTTCTCTACAACCACCTCCTCACCTTCAGCTAAACTACACATATTGGCATCACATTCATTTTCCACTCACTGCTCAACCCATCACAATCTGATGTTTGACCCAATCCCTCTCCTCAAACTAGATACACTTCAGTATTAAATTGGACCCTACCTCAAAAATATCCCATAAATCAGTCTCTTTTTATATCATTATCTTTCTCATCCAACCCACCATCACCCTCTAATCTAACAGTTTCTACCTCATCTCTCCCGTCTCCAATTTGTTCTCTACAGAGTAATTAACGTAATTATTCAAAACAGATCTTATGTTGCATACACTTTCAAAGTTTCAATGCACACCCTTGAAAAGCCTTCAAAATCTGCTGCTCTTAGGATCAAATCCAAATTTCCAAACACTTGAACACTGCCTGAATGACGCTGTATGACACAGGTCCCTACTACTTTCCCCCAACTACTCTAGTGTTCGTTTATCTCTTCAATCTCACCATGTTTGTTTTTTTTGGATTTTCAAATATGCCACTGTCTCTACTGGAACAAACCACAGCTATCTGAATAACTCTATCACTCTATAACAGGAGAAAACAGAAACTCTGTCTCTTTCTTTACTGAACTATATTATATACCCTGCGTAAGAAAATGATACTCAAAAAATATATGGTGATGATCACATTCCTTCTTCTTGAGACAGAGTTTCACTCGCCCAGTCTGGAGTGCAATGGTGGCGATCTCGGCTCACCACAACCGTTGCCACCTGGGTTCAAGTGATTCTCCTGCCTCAGCCTCCCGAGTAGCTGAGACTACATCACACCGAGATAATTTTGTATTTTTAGTAGAGACAGGGTTTCTCCATGTTGTTCAGGATGGTCTCGATCTCCTGATCTCGTGATCTGCCCGCCTCGGCCTCCCAAAGTGCTGGGATTACAGGCATGAGCCACCGCGCCCGGCCTGATAATCACATTCTTAATCACAAAGTAGACATTCCATGGGGGCCGGACACGGTGGCTCACGCCAGTAATTCCAGCACTTTGGGAGGCTAAGGCGGGCAGATCATGAGGTCAGGAGATTGAGACCATCCTGGACAACACGGTGAAACCCCGTCTCTACTAAAAATACAAAAATTAGCTGGGTGTGGTGGCGTGTACCTGTAATCCCAGCTACTCGGGAGACTGAGGCAGGAGAATTGCTTGAACCCAGGAAGACAGAGATTACAGTGAGCTGAGATCACCCCATGTACTCCAGCCTGGTGAGACAGCGAGACTCCGTCTCAAAAAAAAAAAAAAAAAGATATTCCATGGGAAAGACTGGTTTGCATAAGCTCTGACACCATGGCCCAAAGAAAAGAATACCAGAAGCCACAGTAAAACACTGTTAATTAAACAGTAGCAACAGACAGACACCTCATGGTACTTTCAGAGGCAAAAATAAACTGAAACACTAATATGATCATACATGAATATGCATATTTGTAAGAAAGAATGAGAAACATCAAAAAACCTTTCACTCACAAGTTTTTCTCTGTCTAGTTTTTGCAGTAAACTCTCCATGTTACTTCCAATTCTTGTCTTCTCTACAACTTCATAAAGGCTGCAATACATTCCATTCTTCAAAACTGACAATAAGAAAAATACATAGTAAATATCCAAATCAAGTCTGCTTCTAATGCATTTCAATAAAATTAAATTACCTTACCTTCATTTGGACCTAAGTATGTTTCCTTATAAAACAGTGCTGGAGGGATTTTCTGTTTCAGATGATCAATACTCATAACTGTTTCAACATCTAACTTCTCAGGTCTGAAAGAAAATTTAAAAAGCATGTTTGCCTTATCCGTATTTTCAACTCTAGCAATCTTAACACATACACAAAAAAGTATACTTGATGGAAAAAAAAAGAGCGTATCTACTAACATCTTACCTTATTCTAAAGATCTTTTGTTTTGTTTTGTGACAGTCTCACTCTGTCACCTAGGCTGGACTGCAGTAGTGCGATCATAGCTCACTGCAGCTTCAACCTCCTAGGATCAAGTGATCCTCCCACCTCAACCTCTGGAAAGTAGCTGGGACTACAGGCATGTGCCACCACGCAAGGGTAATTTTGGTTTTTTTTTTTGGGTCTTTTTGTAGAGACAAAGTCTCCCTACGTTGCTCAGGCTGGTCTCAAATTCCCGGTCTCAAGTGATCCTCCCACCTCAGCCTCCCAAAGTGTTGGGATTACAGGAGTGAGAAACTATGCCCAGCAGTAAAGGGGATTTGATACTGAAAGTCCAGATATATACATGGGTAGATAGCTAGCCAGGCAGTATTTCCAACCTTCCATCCTTAAGCCAGAAACTAAAAGGCTGTCATTTTATTAAGGACAACTGAAGTATAAACTGTTAATCTTTACACGTTTATGAAGGCTCACAATGATGGAAGCAAAAGATTTTAGACCTTTCTATACCAACATATGCTGCATAGGACTGAAAACAGCCTGTATATTTCAACTCACCAAATCAAAGCTCTTCCCAACAAAGAACAGGTAACTTTTAAGTCTACTATATTCAAAATGCTAAATAAAAAATATATATCTACTACTTAGGATAAAACTAAAAAATTATATTTTAGATTTAAATCACTACTAAGTTTTAGGCCGGGCACGATGGCTTACACCTGTAA